CATAAATAGTGTTATGTACTGTACATAAATGGTGTTATGTACATGTACATAAATGGTGTTATGTACATGTACATAAATAGTGTTATGTACTGCACATAAATGGTGTTATGTACTGTACATAAATAGTGTTATGTACTGTACATAAATGGTGTTATGTACTGTACATAAATGGTGTTATGTACATGTACATAAATGGTGTTATGTACTGTACATAAATGGTGTTATGTACTGTACATGTACTGTACATGTCTAGTACTGTGTGCAGTAAAAACCATGTAAGCCTGGCAGTGCAAAGTACATGTATAATTCATGACATTACTTATGAGGTAATCCTCACCTCCTTCGATTGGAGGTTTTGAGACACTGGTCATGACCACATTTTATTGTTGTATCATACGCAGTTGCTATGGTTGTGGCCAGCTAAACCCTAAAAGAGGCAGGGGGGTCGGAATCCTCCTACCCCTTTGAAATTTTTCATGCTTTTTTTTTGCTTTTTTTTCACGCACTGAGCCTTAAGTAATATTTTAGTAACTTCTGTTGGTCATTTTTACATCAATTTTTGAAAATGTAACATATATGTACCATTCTCACGCAGCACCCGTTGTCCGGGGGCAGGTCAGTGAGAGGTATATTTTTTCACTGATGTGCTCAATACATTTACATGTAGAATGACATAAATGAGGCCTTGAACTTCAAATGGCCATGACAACAAAGCCATTTGTCAGTTTGAGCTGAAACTTCACAGTGGTACTAATAATGAGCATATCCATATGCATGGCGAGTTTTAAAACAAATTGAGTACGGGATAGCCGAGTCGGGGGGGGGGAAGCCTCAGAAGTCCAACATAACTTGGCTCTTTTAAAGTCACATGCTGTGGCCACTGGTCAGTTTTGCTAATTAAGGGGATAAGAGGGATTATCTCATGAGTCAAGCTATGAATCATATTTTGCATGAGGGTGACATGGTTTTTTATGTATATAGTACTGTACATTACAGTGTACATGTACATGTATATACATTTCAGTATTTGCCAAGGTTCAATTAAACATTACTCAACACTACACTTTTCATAAAACGTTAAGGACCACTTTATTCTGGACTTGTAATTTCAGGATGTGCAATGATGCAAGAGACGTTATGCAACACCTGAAACCAACCACATGTGAAATTACAGTGTATTTCAGGTCATTCATGACAGTTGTATTGGGTATTTTCAACAGTAAAGTATCTTCTATAAAAAGTATACACAAAATAAAAAGTGGTTCTTAACTTTGAGTAGTGTCCATCCTAAATCTTTGGGGAAATGTTGGCTACATCTTAAGCCTGACAATTAACAATTGTAAAAATATGCATCTTTGCAAATTAAGGTCAAAGGTCATATATATTCGATAATTTTCGGTGGTACATGGAATAATTTTTAAAAATTTATGAATGAAAGTCATTTCAAGAGCTATAAAATGATGTAAATTTTTTTCTCTGTCGGTGCTTTACTTCAGTAGATATGGCTGTCCAAACAAACCAGGTCAAGCTACAATGCTGCACTCTTAAGGGCCATGGGACATTTTGGATTCTACCGGTAGAGGCTTTGTGGTGCAACCTGAAGCATTTCCTGGTTAATTTCTTCTGAATGGTTTAATCAAATTTGCCTTTGCCAACAACTTGAAATAAGGGCAAGCTTTTTTTTTCAAAAGTTTATTTTTTCGGCACAATTTCTTTTTGGTTTTTTTAATGAGTGGAACCTGCACATGGATGCGGTACATGTATTTTTTGAGATAAAAAGGATGCCCGAGTGTTGAACATTGTAATTCAAGTAAACTGGTTCTCAAAGTAAATAAGTTAAAAATGATATTACCAGGGAGACTGGAACCCATCTAGAATTCTGTGTGTTTGTACATGTATTGTTTTGTGAATGTACAACATTACACGCCACTCTGCTGACTATTAATGCTGCCCAGGCAACCCGTTCATGTTCATTCCACTGAGTGTGGTGAACTTCTTCATACATGTACTTAGAGAAAATCTGACGACAGAAGGGCAGCATGGAGTACACTGCCAAAATCAAACAGTATTCGTTCAGCGCAATATCGAAACATATCAGATGTAAAGAAAGAATGTCCCTATCTGCTTGAGAATTTAGCTTGTGGATCATATCCCATTGGTGCAGCCATCTTTCCAATGAGTGCTTTTGCTCCTCAGGAATACACATTTGAAGATTGTACATGTACATGTATCTTCCAAATTAAAAGCACTAATCAGGAAGATGGCTGCAACCTCAATGCATTGTTACTGTGTGGTATCAGTAACACATGCAGTAGGATTGTAGGATGTAGGATATCTGAGTGACCAATATGTAATGTATGTGTTACACATTACCGGTACATGTATGTGATGTATGTATTACACATTACCAGTACATGTATGTAGCAATCAGAGGAATAACAAGGTCATTTTGATGGTGGTGATTAAGAAAAAGGGCCCTTAGCAACCATGCTAAAAGGTACAAGGGGTTTTACTGGTCAACCAATCTCAATAAACACAATAAAAGAGAATGTGGGGGGAAGGGATCTCAACACAGTCTTCCCATATTTATGGCAGCACCAGTGTTGGAGGTCTCGAGACCTGGTCTCGGTCTCGAGACC